TCAGTCTCATCCACATAAAACTGGGCTATCAACGTGCCACGAACAACTACATAAATGGTGCTGTTATCACAAGATATGGCATCCCAGGCCATAATGCCTGCGTTAATGATCTGTTGAAATTACACAGCTGATCAAGGGAGATTCAGATACTGTAGTCCGTAATACCAAACGAAACGTAACTGATCGCTAAACATCACGAATCCTCTATCAGTAGCACTCCACTTTGCTGTGGCTAAGTAACATTAGAGACGAAGACATTAGAGACATGTCTTTTCAAACATGTAACATAATAATCGAAAGTGGCCATTATAAATTGAACAATAAAAGCGCTGAACGTTGTCCAGTCGGTTGTTCAAATTCCGAAAAGAGGAGTTGGTATTCAAAATTTTATGGTTTACAAGATTGTGAATGCGAGCCATTTTACCTTAAAATTTCTTTCACGAAAGCATACCCCTTTTTAGGCAAATAGCCCTCACTTACTTCGCTGTACTCTAACAAATCAAAGCGTGCTTATAAGTAACAAATGCAGCAATAAGATATCATATTTGAATGGTGTCAAACCAGGTGGGGGGAGTAAATGTTTCAATTGGAATCTATTTATTTTGGAAATATAATATTGCTGAAATGTGCAAAAATTCAGCCAGTTGACAGAAAGTCTGAGAGATTCTCGAAGAAAATACAAGGAAGAAGAACAAATATGAGATAAAATCATTTAGAATCTTTTAATTTATCTGATTATCTTATTATCTTTAATAATTAAAGATTAAAAGATTAGTTGGATAAAGATTGGTATGCTAAATGCCTGAAATGGTAGTTACTCGTCAACCCTTTTTCTTCTCTGCTATTAAAATTTTAGCCACTTTTGTTAAAATTAACTAATTTTATTTCGATGAATGCCTGATTTAAATTCCTTAATTTTATTTAACATCCATTTATCTTGCGAGTTCTGTTTCATTTCTTCCCTGATTTTTACTAGTTTAACACTAGAAAACATCTCTTCTTCATATCTAGTCCTGTTTAGTAAACATCTGCGTTACGCAACATCTCTGAATAAAAATTTCCAAACAAAAGGAATTAAAAGATTTTTTTTAATTAAAAGAGACTCATTTTTTCAATTAAATAAACCTAGGTCAATTTTATCTGTTTACAAAATATAAATTAAAAAAATGCATTTCTCTGGGCACTTTATTGACTCGTCGATTGCTTGGAAAAAAATAAAAAATCTTTTGGGGGGTATAATAAAAAACAGCTAACCAGAATTTTCAGACTTCGAACTGGAGCTGGCAGGCTACAATTCATGGATTTAATCTGGTATCCTTTTCATCACTGCATTTCATTCACATCCTCTTTCCTTTATGCGTTGCTGTCAGTTGAATGATGAATATTCCGATATTTTTAACACTCTATCGATATAAATCAGTGAGATTGTCATTGTGGATTGGATGAAAAATAAAAAGTGTGATATGATTGATGCATGTTAAAGTGAAACTATGGATGACTTTAACTGCTGGTTAGTTGACCATTGTTATATTGCAGTACGCTATATAGGCACAATGTGATTTCCCCCTCCCAACTTTTCTACAGCAAGTCTTACAAACGAAGCAAGTAAGATCGAAACATTTGAAACATATCTTTAAAGTTATTATAGATATGTTACTAAGTTCTCATTGCTAAAAGTCTAAAGCTAACATCGCGCAAAAATATGTCATACTAAATTATGGAATAATAAAGTACTACATCTGAAATGAAAGTACTAAATGTATTACAAGAGAACAGGAATACGTAAAAATAAAACTTAAAATTAGGCAAAGCAGCAACCGTATGTTTGACGTAGATATTTTAGTCGAGAATCTATCGTCGATTTCGAGGGCAAAAAAGACACAGATCTCTTTCTGTCAAGAAGAAAATGTCTTGATGAAGACGGACCTGTACCTGTTTACCCTCGAAATTAATAGTCTTGACTAAATTTTACACCAGACACAAGATTGTTGCTTTGACCAATTTTATACTAAATGTATATTTGCTTTCTTTCACTCTTTTCAAAATATGTCACTATTTTATTATCTCAAAATCATAAATGATTTCAAAGAAAATTGCTAAATTAAAAGTGGAAAGAAAAGGAAGAAAAAAAATGAAGATTCAATTTATAAGGCATTTTCTTCCTCCTTTTGCATGCATAAGTGGTACAACAGGAAGCATACAGGACGCGTATTCGAGATGTTCGGAGTTTGAATCCCGGCGAGCGTATTACATATTTTTACCATTCCAGCAACGACTTGTAAGGATCCTAAGTTTTACTAACGTTTATTTTATTTTAAATCTTTACTATCACTTCTTATTTTCTACTTCCGGCCAGAATTAAAAGCTTTTAACTTATTTATGCAACATTTGTCTTGCTAACGCCAAGTACATAAGTTGTGGCTTTTTGCCAAGCAAGAGAGAGGAAGGAGTTATTAGAAGCAGGCCGCTTGCCATAGTAGTTTTACTCGTTTGCTGGTTGCCTTCAAGGCCAGAGGTTTAATCCTCTTGATAATTTTAAATGTATCGTAGTTTTAGCAGCTCTCTGTACTACATACGGCTTTTGTTAATTAGCGGCCAATCTTAAAGTAGGCCACTTGTATATTAATCAAAGTTAGTTTAGTTAGAGTTTAGTTAATATTTTTATATTCTTACGTTCAGACCACAAGTGGTTGGTCTCTGTATTCCGAAGTTCCGGAAAGCTCTGTAAAGATAGAAAAATAAAGGGTTTCGTATACCCTTCCTGTGTGTATTGTCTACTTCACAATTTATCGAACATAGCTTGAGTAAGCTCCCTGTTCCGAGTCAGGACAGTTCATGTTTCCAAAGCAAGTAAAGAGGAATACCAGTCCTGATAGACTTACCTAACGGTTCTACAAGTTCACAATAGTTATTCATGAAACTCGTTCTTTTGGCTATTTAATTTGTTTCTATGTAGCGATTTCTGTTATTCCGCATGCCAATTATATGCAAATATATCATTTACTTAATATTGCTTTTCACATAACCACCACACTGAAGGTATTTATTTTACTTTTATATCATATTTTGTTAAATTACATAAAATGAATGATTTTAACCGAAAGAGCTAGGTTCCAGACACTAGACTGGGAAGTTTTGCCTCAGCCACCCTATTTCCCGGACATCGGACTATTACCTGATTTTGGCCGTGGATAACCAACTGAGGGAAACAGCTACCAAATACCAAAACGCGACCATGTCCACGTAGGCTGTGACATGGTCGCGTTTTGGTGGAAAAAAGAATTTTTTCAAAAAGGGCATTTATAAGACTATGTCTCGTTGAGACATGTAACTGAAGCCAATGGTGATTATATCGAAAAATGTAATGGGTGAAGATTTCGGTAGGCCGTTTTTGATGAGTGACGAAAACCGCACGCAATTTCTTAGTTACATGGTATTAGGTGCCTCCATAATAAAGAGACCACCGTTTCCGGCCTTAGTAGTGGTCAACGCCTATAAAAGGCGAGAACTAGCTTTTAAAAAAAAATTCGAAATGGTTTATAATGCTGTTTGGTGCGTCAATGCCAGAACGAAAGATCTATTGATGAAATTTGCTCCCGGCTTTCTCCATTCTCGATCTTATTTTTAATTTACGGAAAAACGCATAGCAGCCATACTCTTTTTAGAATTTTAGCAAACGCGATCATCTATATTTTGAAATGGCGTATAAAAATTCCTTTTTCTACACTTCTTTCAGTCAAAAATAAAATAGCACATAAAATAACACGAGCAAACATGCGACAGATCGCATGGAATGCAATAATAAGGTAGGATTACCAGAGGGAAAACTACCGTAGTCGGCGTCTGGTATTTTATTTTGCAACGATGTGTTACTCGAAAATATTCTACTTTTTTATTCCTTGGTATGATTTTCACCATCACGCGACATGTTCGAACGTTACAAGGTGTTTGGTATTAAATGCGATGAGTTACGAGAGATAATGGCGCTGGTTCCAAAATAAAACTAAGTTAGGCAACATAAATATTTAATTATTTTACATAATGTACAAAGTTGCAAGTTAAGTGCTCCATTAGCACAGACAAAGTGTAACGAGCGAATGCACCATAGGTCTGCTGCGTACATTCTTCAACAACCAACTAAACTAAATTTGGCTCCTCTCACAAGAGGGCGCTGTATTAAACCGAACACAAGACTTTCAGCCCAACGAAGCATTTCGCCCAGAAGCATTTTCGCCAGAAGGGTTAGTAATTTCTTTTTGGCACTTGGCGTTGTCCACTATAAACTCGCCATTTCACTTTTCATAATGTTGCCACCAAATATTAAAGTCCTACACTATATTTAAAGAAATTAAATAACGAAGAATCTGCATGAAGGCATGTATGTTTCTAGCACTATGAGAAAACAACGGTACCTAGAGATATCAAGTTTTGACTAACATAGCCCTCGACTCGAATATGGGCATCTGTAAACCCATATTTGGAATTTGTTTTATTATCTATTTCATTTTTGTAAAACTTAAACGAATTTTTGATTAACAAACTGAACTATTTCAAAGCGAGCAACGGCAACACTGTACGGGAAAAAAAAAAAAAAACTTTTTCATCTTCAGCGCGCGAGACTGTGTAATGGAAATTCTAAAGATGTGCTGTTTTTAAATATTTTGTCATATTGCTGTTGAATTGAGATTTAAGGTTTCATTGCGAAACACATGAGATATAAATACACATGATAAATAAATAAAATGTTAAAAAAACACCTAAATAATAATAATAAAAATTAAATAAACAATAATAAAAATCTGAAAGATTTCTAGACTTTTTTAAATATAAATTTAATTTTTTAAATTTTTTAATTATTATTTCGACCTATATGTTTCCAAGTTTCGGGTAAATTTTTTAAGAAAAAACGCACTTTCGTTTTGTATACAGCAATTACGTTTTCCCAAAAAATGTTTTGTCTAAATTGGCCAGTATTTTTTCTATTTTTCTTCTTTGCCCAGGAAGCGAGCATATGTCCTATGGATTCTTGCCCTATCAACTTTAACGATACTTGAATGGAATGGCTCCAGTGCTGGTATTCTCGGCCACCATAAACGAGGGAACGATGAAGCTGTAGAAACATTATTAGCGGTTGGTATTATTGCTAAGGCTCTTGCAGACAACGAAACACCACCACCAGAGAATCACTGCCCCCCGCCCATCCATATGACGAAAGTTGTTCATGTGCCTGTTCATACCGAACGAATAGTTGTCGTTAAGTCAGACAATAAGGATCAAAGTGAGTATAAATTTTCTGTGTTCTTCCGAAATTCCAAAGTAATTATACTTGGTTTTCATACCTTTTAATTACATAATAAAGGAAATATTTACAATTCGTATTGATATATATATATATATATATATATATATCAAGCAAGGTAGTTATTACAATACTGAATGACCAATTTGGTCTAGAAAACATCTTGCGCAATATGCTGCAAAATAAGTAAATTAGAAATTGTAGTAAGCTCGCCTAAAAGTTACCAGGAGCTGTTGCTCCAAAAAGTTCAACACGTTTTAAAAAAATTAATACGTATGAAAATCAAACCATTTAACATGTAAAACATTAAAAAAAACAAAATCAGATAAAAAGTAAGCGGAAAATGGCAAATTAGCCGAACTCGATTCCAAACTGGCTTTTCAGGGAAATTTTTTTGGTTTGAACGTCGAATCAAGCAACCCCATTACGCGTTTCGCCGAAACAGACAATTGAAACTTTTTCGCTACAAAATTTTTTAATTTAGACAAAGTGTCTTGGAAAATTTTAATAGTCTCAATTCTCTGTTCCAATTATATATATATATATATATAAATTCTTCGCCCGATTTACTTCAAAATAATTCATTTTGATCTCTACGAGATTTACGCTGTACTTCATTTACCGAATTTCTTGAGTATTATCCCCCACGCTTATTTTAGTGCCAGGTTCTGATAATGTTTAAAATATTCACCCACGTAATAATCGCTTCCGTCTCACTAAACAAAACCAAATTCTCAACTACTTGCGAAGGTCACGCCGAACGTTTTCCTTCTAAATAATGACCTTCCCTCCAGCCCAATACAGAACCCGACCCATACTGGAGATGCCAACACGATCAAACATTCAATCTACTATTACGCAGGCTCAACTGCATATTCACCTTCTCTCATTATTTAAGGATGATTTACCAAAATAAAAATAAGGTAGTTCCTTAATTTGATAACGAAAGTAAATCTTCTAAAATTTGATACCGTTCTGATTATTTGCATATTATCAAAAAACAGAATTTTGTTAAAATCCGTATTAGTGATAAATATTACCTCTGACAGATATTTATCACTAATACGTTATAATCCGTATTAGTGACAAATATTTGTTTACGGGGCTCTTTGCCTTATAAATTTCCTAGGTTTTACTGTGCCTACCAAATTGTGATTGCTTTATGTACAGTAAAAGCATTCAGAGAACATGCTTATCGAAATTTTAAAATGTATTAATCCACCTAATAATCGTCTTACAAAAACACAACCTCACGATTAACCTGCGAAAGCCACGCCGAACCTTTCCCTTCTGAATAATAAAATTTACGCCAGCCCAATACAAAAAACGACCCATCGCGGTAAATTCAATACGATCAGGCATTTAATTTACGATTTCGCAGATACGGTTGCACATTCACCTTCTTTAATTATTTATGGATGATTTAAGGCCTGAGAGGTAGCAAGGACAACAATAAAAATGAGTGAGATTCAAGTTACGAGAAGTAAAAATGAAGATATTATTTAATATAGTTGTGTTAATATTGCTAAGTATTCTCATTGGAACATAGGTCTCTTTGAAAGAAATAATATTGTGATAATTAAATGTAGCTATTTATGACTGCTTTCCATTTGTTACGTTCTTACTGTAACCGCGTCTTTCGAAAATTAAATAAGTCGCATAATTTTCCCCTCCAGAATTTCCGGCGATAAAATTAGCAGAAAAGAATGTGGAAAAATATATAAGGAAAGACGATGTACCAAAATGAACGTACGGTATTCAAATTAAGTTCCCTAATTAGATAGCCAAAGTACATCCTCTAAAATTTAATAACCTTTCGACTGATGGCATGCTTTCAAAGAAAGGATTTTACTAAAATCCGCATTAGTGAACAAATAACTTCAGCTTGTTTACAAAGCTGTTTGCCGGACAGATTTTAGTACAACAACCAAAATGTTACAGCGTTTATGGGGCAGTCTGAATACGATGATCCTGTTATCGTAGCTATTCTTGTTAGATATATGAGAAGTTGAATCCGCTGTCTTGTAATCAGAACTAGATTAAACGGATGTTGTAAACCTAGTATTTGACAACTCGAGGTAACATTGCATTTGATCCCCGAGGCTAAATCAAAGATTCCTTCTTGTATTAAAACGCTTCACTGCACAAACCGTATGCTAAAATGCTGTTTTGTACAAAACATTTAGATGCGTTACCGTTTAGCCAGAGGCAAACTTTCTTGCTTTCACATTGTGAAAACTTTGTCTGGAAAACCGTCCTCTTTGTCCAACCATATGTAAATATAAATTAAATTATTGATTCCTTAAACTTATTAATATTAATGGAGTTAAGAGCAGAAAACCAATTTACACTTCAGTAAGTGAAGAATTTCACTTTAATTTGGTTATAATTTTAAACTTTTCATTTTTATTTCATTCATATTTAGTAGTTCGAACAGTTACGCTTAATTAGAATTCTTGTTGCTTCGGAAACAAAGAATCTACCCTAAACTTCCTAATGTTTTAGACCTTCTTTTTTACTGAAATTTAAATCTGCAAAAAAACTGAGTTTTGCCAGTTTTAAAATAACTTTTAAGGTATGACTAATACTTTTTTAATACACGTAAATGAAATGCATCAGTGGGAGTTTAAAAAACAGGAGAAGTTAAAGTTATTTTCCACTAGATTCTATGCTTTTCAAAAAGCACTTTGATGCCTTAAAAAAGCACTTGATGTTTAGCAAAACAATTGTTTCATTAGACAGACGCTTTTCGCTTCGCAAATTTAGACTCTTTGTTTCTAATTAAATTTAAATCCACTTCTCTTTAAAACCATATACTTTTGTCATATACTTTTATGCCCGTCATATGCTTACGCTTAAACAATATATTTGATGTAGTACTCACGTTTAAACAATATATTCGATGTTCTTTTTCAATAACCTCCAAATATAACGATTATCCATTACAATTACTGGCGAAAAGGTTCCTGTCTGGTAAGAAAACACTAAACCCGCTTTTATCATAAACGGTATTCGTTATAACGTGTTTTTGAAAATGTCATGAATAGTTATAAATAATAAATGTCCACATATAGTGTAGTGCTTACGCTTAAACAGTATTATGTAGTACTTACGCTTAAGGAATATATTCGATGTTCTTTTTTAATAACCTCCAAATATAACAATTATCCATTACAATTACTGTCGAAAAGGTTCCTGTCTGGTAAGAAAACACTAAAGCCACTTTTATCATAAACGGTATTCGTTATAACGTGTTTTTGAAAATGTCATGAATAGTTATAAATAATGAATATCCACATATAATAAAGATAAATGTCTCACATATTATCCAACGTTACTGTCTAAGCTTGATAAATTGAAATAAATGCTGTGTGGTATGCTAAAACTTATCTTGGAGGAGTCTAACTGCTACACACCAGATAATACTTATAAGTATGACTAAGCACTTTTCCAGGAACGTCCTTTTCTGTGTCAAAGTGATCAGTAAAAGTTGAGCGCTAGCTAACTGTGATGCAGAGAGAGGTTATTAATGCAATATATAAAGCAAACGTATTTACTTTTTAACGCATTTAAACAAATTAGTTTACATTTTATATATGTAATATATTATTTGCATAGCTTAATCTGAAGTTATAAAGCTTAATCTGAAGTTTACTGGATTACGCTGCACAGTCAATAGGTTTTTCTGAAGCAGGAGACACTAAAAATGAGCAACGTCCTAGCCGGTCTCCAACCTGGACCTCTCGAATACACGCCGAGTGTGCTACCGTTACACCACGAAGGTTTGCAAAAAGGAGGGAGAAAATGCCTTATAACGTAAATTAAATCAATATTCAAAGAAGAAAAAATGTAAATAGCAAAAAAAAAAAACATCATTAGTAATGAAAAATTACTCTTATAATCGATGTTAAAGGCCAATATTACAAGAGTCCTTAAACAATCTTATTGGTGTTAAATTCTTATAAAATAGCTCCGCATAATACACCGGTGTGCAAAAATTAAAGACCAAGTCGAAAAATTAGCATATCAGCTGAACGAAGAGGCAGAGCGGACAGAAAGACCAATCAGGAGATTAAGTAAGGTGATGTACGGTAGCACATGCGCAGATATGCAGGTAGACGTAATGGGGGAGTGTCTGAGTAGTATAAAGCATGTAGTCGGTGTAAGATCAGTATTTCTGACAAAGAGATTGCACGCCGTATAGCAGTTAAAATCACACCGAGTTGCTGCCTCAGCGAGAAATGGCGAATAATCAATCTGTTAGACGACATCTGGATGCTTTTACCCGAGATTGAATCATTGGGAAGTTGGAGGAAGGCCGCAGTGTGACAAGTGTGGCTGCAGAGTTCGGAATTGCTCACAGCATCGTTTCACGACTTTGGAGACAATTTCAAACTACAGGAACAGCTATCCGGGGGTTTAGTAGTGGTCGTCCACGAGGAACCACACCCGCAGATGACCGGTATATTACCTTACAGGCCAGAAGAAACAGGCGGCAGACAGCGGGAGAAATCGCTAGACACACGACACAGGCGACTGGACGACCGATATCGCGTTTTACCGTGGCCAGAAGACTGCACGGTGGTGGTCTGTTTGCACGACGCCCTGTATGCTGTGTACCTCTAACGCCTGTCCATCGGATTCTCTGTAGTGCCGGGAACACCGGAATTGGAGAGACAATGAATGGGGACGAGTACTCTTTGCAGATGAGAGCAGATTCAGTCTTGAGTAGCGATTCTCATCGCATACTCATCTGGAGAGAGCGGGGAAGCCGCAATCATCCTCGAACATCATTGAAAGGGACAGGTATGGAGGTGGCGGTGTTCTCGTTTGGGGAGGCATCATGCTTGCTAGTCGTACAGACCTTCACATCTTCGACGCAGATTCAGTCAACGGGACCCGTTATTGTAACAAGATTCTTCTTCCATATGTGCGTCTTTTTAGAGGCGCTATGCGTCCGCAGTTCCTTTTCATGGACG